TTTCGCTACGGCGAGTTTAGTTTTAGGGAATTTTTGCTTCCTCTCGCCGTACGTAATACGTGCACGCTCTCTCACTCTCATGGGGAATCCGTATACCTTTCCCCCCCAGTTCTCGGAATTCTCGAATATTTCGGGATTAGTCAATACTATTATATTATCCTTGAGGAATTTATGACCTCATTTGGAAGCCGAATTAATCAATAATGTATTATTGTCAGAATCAGCTAGTTCGAGTCAATTCATTATATTGCGCTCGTTAGAAAATTGCTGCTTATTATTATCAATCTTTTCTTTTTTTCTTTGTGGTAAATCCACTATGTACAAATGTAAATTCTTCATTTTGACTAATTTCAATAGTGAAACAAGGACAATGCCGATTTCTTCTCTTTTTTTCAGCAGTTTTGACCACCCAATACCCGTTTCCACCTGAAATCCACCCCTCTCTCCACAACCTAGCACACTGAGCGAACCAGGGACCGTGACCTTTCCCCAAAAATCTAGTTTCCTCCTTTTTTTTTGTACGTTTTAGTTTTTCGACTCAGTAGAGTTGATTTTGTGGATTCCTCCGGTTTGGTAATTCCGGTTAAAAATTACCTGGCGCCCATGGATTTTTTTTGCATTTTGAGTTTAACTAGATGAAGGGGAAGAAGGGCGAAGGTAATAGACATTTTTGACCCCCATACGAAGATGTCACGTTACAATGGATATTATCAAAATTCTATTCAGAGTACAAAATAATAATACCTACAACCCAGAATTTTTTAGCCTTCTTTCCCTTCATTCCTCTTTACTCCTTTATGAAAGCATTCGTCTATCAATTGTTCTTCCCTTATTGATACACAAATAATTTACCATTTGAGAGATACCGAAAATTTTCTCAAAATCTCGAAAACTCGTGGAGAATTCAATTTTTTTAGGCGAAAATCTCGTAATTGCTTTAAATTGGAAAAACCGCGAATCATATTATATTTAGATAGAAACCGAAGATTCTCTGATTTTTTAAAGAACCTGCCAACTTCCTCGAAGTTTCTTTAATTCATCCCTAATTCGTCTTCTTNTTGAGAGATACCGAAAATTTTCTCAAAATCTCGAAAACTCGTGGAGAATTCAATTTTTTTAGGCGAAAACCTCGTAATTGCTTTAAATTGGAAAAACCGCGAATCATGTTACATTCAGATAGAAACTGAAGATTCTCTGATTTTTTAAAGAACCTGCCAACTTCCTCGAAGTTTCTTTAATTCATCCTTTATTCGTCTTTTCAAAATAATAGTTATTAATGTTCAAAAATCTTCTCTCAATGAGTGCTTATATCAGAAATTAGACAAACTTCAAAATTTTCATATTAAGGGTTCAGTCTTAACAGTTCCGGTTTTGAATTATTTCAGTCAAGCTGAAAGGTTCCATTCTCATATTTATGTCGATAGTCCTTACCTTATACCCCTTTTTNTATTATTTTTTACTGTGTTGCATTCAGATTCTCCTATACTTAACACAAAAATTGTAAGATAATTTCATAACTCTATCCATTGATTCTAATCAGCTTGGTTTGGAGGAAACCTCAATAAACGCAACATTAAGAAAGTTGAATGATTCTATTTTCTTCTGACTTAAATTGATTGGAAAATTCTAATTGCTTCATTAATAAAAAATGCAGAGTACTTAGATATAGGATATTCATATACTGCATAATAATTCAAGTAACCTGAAAGTTTTGATTTTCATATTGCTAGAATTTACTTTTACTTTTCAATTAATTAAAACACTCCTAAAAATGACTACTTAATGATCCCTGAAATTTTAATTCTTTTTTCCATTATCTCCATTAGTATAATTGCTCTTTGCTCATAATTATGGGGAACCATTTCAAAAATATAGAAAATTAATAGGAAGACGTCTTTTTGGTGTAAATTAATAATATGATTGAAAAATCGAGATTTTCGGAGACCATGAGCCCTNTTTCAATTCATTGTTCATAATCATGCTCATTGCAAAAACAATGCAACTGATGAAAAAAAATGTCCTAATTTATTAGCTCGTAAATTTTTATATTACAATGAATTGCTTGTGCATGTGCTAATTAGCATGCTCGCTGAATGAGATTTTAATCTTTGTTACAATTCAACTTCTCAAACATAATTTAGAGAGTAAATTGCTGGTGTTCAATGTTTACTGATCTTCTGGTAGAAGTACGTGCTAACACTGTTATCATTTTGCATTAGATCACTCAGTAATGCATCACTTCATGTTTGAAGCAGCATATTAAAAATTGAAAATGAAAATGACAGTTTGGCTTCTGCTCCATCCTTTTTCGTGAATCTTCATGAAAATTGTGAAATTCATCTTAATGATTCAGATGATATGATATGAATATAATCATTCTTGTTCTTTGCCATTATGGAGTCTTTAATCGCTATTTTTTATTCGTAATAGAATTTTTTAATTTGGGTATTATTATTATTTTTTACTGTGTTGCATTCAGATTCTCCTATACTTAACACAAAAATTGTAAGATAATTTCATAACTCTATCCATTGATTCTAATCAGCTTGGTTTGGAGGAAACCTCAATAAACGCAACATTAAGAAAGTTGAATGATTCTATTTTCTTCTGACTTAAATTGATTGGAAAATTCTAATTGCTTCATTAATAAAAAATGCAGAGTACTTAGATATAGGATATTCATATACTGCATAATAATTCAAGTAACCTGAAAGTTTTGATTTTCATATTGCTAGAATTTACTTTTACTTTTCAATTAATTAAAACACTCCTAAAAATGACTACTTAATGATCCCTGAAATTTTAATTCTTTTTTCCATTATCTCCATTAGTAAAATTGCTCTTTGCTCATAATTATGGGGAACCATTTCAAAAATATAGAAAAATAATAGGAAGACGTCTTTTTGGTGTAAATTAATAAGATGATTGAAAAATCGAGATTTTCGGAGACCATGAGCCCTTTTTTTTATGAATCATTCAATGATAATGAATATTTCATTCCAAGAATAATTTTTCCTAAATTGTAACAGATTTTCTCTACTCCCAGAATTTTACAAAAATAAATTTAATGTCAAAATAATTGTATTTTTAGAAGTGAGAAACATTCCATTATTCATTCTTAAGAAGGGAATCTTGAAAATTGCAAATATTTTCGGAATTTTGTTCGAAAATCGGTAATTATCCATTCCTTTTTTTCGAGCTCTTTCTAGCTAATTCAATTGAGGAATTGGTGATTTTTAAATTCAAGTTATAACCCCGCTTTGTAATTCTCGCGCGCTGTTCTAAATGAAACGTATCTTGTGGACTCGCCAAAAATTCTCCGGTGCGCCATGACACTTCGCGTCACTGTGCCATGAGCATGCGCAATGCGCATTTGTGGAGGCCGCCATGACAGTGCTCTCTTTTTTACGATAGGATATTCCGTGGATCCCTCTAGTAGTCATACATACAAAAAATGCTTGAAAAAAATTGTCTATTTTTTCAGAGTTTTCTTGAATTTCTAAAAAGCCAACGAGAGAAGAAAATACTCAATATTGTAATAATTATGCAATTAATAGAGATGTCCACTGCGGCTATCACGTTGCAGAATTGTTAAACCGAGCTGAAAAAAAACCATATATTCTGCATTCAATGTATAACACATTCAGCCAATATTTTTAAAACGAACAGTCTCCGTTGATTTTCTAAAAAATCGAGAAATTTCGTCAGAAAAAGTGGTGTTAAAACAATCATAGCTCGTTATGAGATTTACGGACGCGCTGCCCGCGGGTCCCTCAAAATTGAATACATATGTGTGCCTGCCTACCTCTTTCAGGGACATCGATATTAGTTATAGACGTTTAGGTCCTTTGATGCGCAACCACACTGTACATTGCTGCTTTCCCATTAAAAAAATCTGCGAATAGGAATATTTTTTAAAAATTATTATATTATGAACTATACGTATTAATGTGTTTCGGAGACAGCAATTATCTGGAATATGTTGCTTTATTTTGTGACCACACGGGTCGTCAACCCGTAATTGATTTTTTATTTGTAACATTTGTTTATTTTCATTTTTTAATGAAAAAAATGAGACCTTTNAATTTAGAGAGTAAATTGCTGGTGTTCAATGTTTACTGATCTTCTGGTAGGAGTACGTGCTAACACTGTTATCATTTTGCATTAGATCACTCAGTAATGCATCACTTCATGTTTGAAGCAGCATATTAAAAATTGAAAATGAAAATGACAGTTTGGCTTCAGCTCCATCCTTTTTCGTGAATGTTCACNAGACTTCTCTCATCCATGAGAATCGGGAAAGGAAATACTCCAAATCTTTTACAATTCTAATACCATTTGTGATCTTCGACGGTCATAAAGAGGAGGTCCTGGGAAAATTCTCTTGGGATCGAACAACATCCAAACCATCCCATTCAAGCTATTGGAAAGGAGGATTGGACGATGGCGTCCCTCTACGAAGCCCGTGCTTTTCAAATGGGAGCTGAAGATGTCTTCAACCGAGGATCCATTGCCATCAACCACCGAATATCTATGGTCCAGGGTACCCTGACGCGAGGAACGACCGGAGGGGGAAGCTCCCCCTCGTCAGACGAGCAAAACCTAGAGGAATCAGCGAGGGATACTCGAATGTGAATAATATTCCAACGTTGGGAATAATTCACGAAATTTAATCTAAAATAATTTTAAAACATCGAAAATATTGATTCATATCCATTTAGGAGTTTTTGAGAAATAATTTTCATGTAAATTAGTTGCGTAGAATGTTCTAGCGTTTAATACTTCTGTTAGAACTTCGATATCCAATCAAATTCCGTGTCTTATGAATTTGGGAGGAGGTTCCTCCCCCAAAACAAGATCAAGCAGGCATATCGGTTGAACCGGCCCAAGCTTGACTAGAGTCGTCTCCTAGCCAGCGCGAGATGTAGTCGCAAAATAGTACTGTCCGTCAGATTGGCATTTATTTCGTTTATTTTGAGTTAAATTTATTATTTTTTATGATGGAGGTTGCTGTCTATCCTGGAGCAGGTAATTTCTCAAATCGACAGGTGGGCAGAGCCGGATTGTTATTATCTTTGAGTAAAATTGGAAAATTGTAACTTTTGTCTTGGCTATTCTTGAGAAAGCATTCAAGATGGCGTCTTATCTAATTTTTCATTATATTTTCTTGAGTTGAGGCAGTTGTGATCAACTCCTCTTATATTTTTTCGATTTTTGATGATTACTTTTGGTAAATTTGAGTACAATATTGAAGTTCATTAGTTCTGATCAATTTTTGTGCGAAATTAAAATGTGATAAATTGAATTCATTGTACTTCGAGGTGACGTATGGACCCTCAACTGAATATCGATCCATATTATGGATATTTCGTCATAATTTTGAGAATAATGAGGAATTATAGACCTTATTCACCTTTCTTGTGAATTTCATAATTTTTTTTTGTGTGAAATTATATTTGATTATTCGTGTTACTAGGGGGCTACGATCCCTGCTCGCTCCGCTCGCCAACCCCGGGGGAGCTTCGCTCCCCCCTCCCGGTGTGACCGAGTGGGTGTGACCGGGAGGGTACATCCGATAGCTCTATACATACTTTACCATAAGAGGCCATATACGTATAATTCCCCCCCATATATGGGCCCCCCCATATATAGGCACCCCCCATATATGGGCACTCCTACAAATGGGCACCACCCCATATATATAGGCACCCCCCCATATATGGACACACCTCATATATGGGCACCCCCCCATATATGGGCACCCCCCATATATGAACACTCCCCATATATGGGCACCCCTCTATATATGGGCAGCCCCCTTAGAACCCCCATGACCCTTATGATCCTTACCACCCCTATGACCCTCGTGACCATTAGTACTCCTATGACCTTCGTGACCCTCAGCGCTCCTATGACCCTCGTGACCCTTAGCACTTCTATGACCCTCGTGATCCTTAGCACCTCTATGACATTTAGAACCCGTATGGCCCTCGTTTGAGACCCTTTTGAGACCCCCGTGACCTTTATGACCCTTAGCGCCTCTATGACCTTCGTGACCCTTAAGACCCTTAGTACATCTATGACCCTCGTGGCCCTCAGAACTCTTAGCCCCTGTTTGACCCTTATGACCCTTAGCACCCCTATGACCCTCATGACCCTTAGCACCCCTATGACGCTTATGACCCTTAGGGCCCCTATGACCCTTGAGACGCTTGAGACCCTCGTGACCCTTATGACCCTTAGCCTCTCTATAACCTTTATGACCCTTAGCATCCCTACGATCCTTGGCACCTCTATGACCCTCGAGACCATTATGTCCCTTAGCACCTCTATGACCCTCGCGACCCTTATGACGCTTAGCCCCTCTATGATCCTTATGACTCGTAACACCCCTATGAGCCTTAGCACCCTTAGCACCCGTATGACCCTTATGACCCTTAGGGCCCCTATGACCCTTTTGACCCTTAGCACCCCTATGACCCTTATGACCCTTAGGGCCCCTATGACCCTTGCGACGCTTGAGACCCTCGTGACCCCTAGCCTCTCTATAACCTCTATGACCCTTAACACCCCTACGACTCTTGGCACCTCTGTTGACAATCTCCATGTACACTGATGAGGCAAATGTGTCGCAACTTTGGAGTCTCGATACACTGGGTATCACCGACCCAATTCAGTAAAAATCCAAAGAGAATCAGCAAGAAGTTCTCACGAGATTTCGTGCAACTACTTGTTTCGACGCATTTGCCCGGTATGAAGTGCTACTGCCGTGGAAAGAGAGTCACCCACCACTGCAGAACAACCGAGCCACAGCAGAGAGAAGACTGGAGAACACGAGAAAGAAGCTTATAAACGATAAGCTACTTGAGGATTACGAGAAGGTGTTCGACGAGTGTATTTCTGAAGGTATCATTGAAACTGTGCCCAAGGATGAGTTGGATAACGTAGCCTATTATATGCCTCATCGTCACGTTGTAAAAGAGGGTAGTACTACACGTATCAGACCAGTGTTTGATGCTTCAGCTCGAGACAAACAGCATCCGTCGTTGAATCAGTGCCTGGAAACGGGACCCAATCTTATTGAACTCATTCCATCGTTGATTCTTCGCTTCAGAGAGAAACGCGTTGGAGTCATCGCAGACATCAGAAAGGCTTTTCTACAAATCAGCGTGGCGTCGAAAGAACGAAACGTGGTACGATTCCTGTGGAAAAGTTGCGCAAAGCCTGAAAACACTATCGAATACCGACATTGCGACGAGTCGTTTTTGGTGTATCGAGCAGTCCATTCCTGCTGGGAGCAACAATAGAGCGACACTTAGAGCCAGAAATCAAACGCACACAATCTGAAGAGAAAGAAGCTATCCTGAGAAAACTGAAAACCTCATTCTATGTGGATAATTGTGTAACGAGCGTCGACTCTGTGGGTGAGCTAGAGTGCTTCAGAGAAACTGCAACCACAGCAATGGCGAGAGGTGGCTTCGATCTCAGAGGATGGGAACATTCAAACGACTCGGACGATGCACTAACGACAGCAGTACTCGGACTCACGTGGAATAAGACGCTAGATACTCTCCAATTGTCAGACACGATTCTAGTACCTGAACTTCCCAGCAAAATCACGAAGAGGACGATTCTATCCGTGACTCAGAGAGTCTTCGATCCACTGGGCATGGTGAGTCCAACCGTGCTCCTTCCGAAGCTAATTTTACAGAGACTATGGCAGACTGATTTGGATTAGGACACTGCTGTTGGGGACGAGGTCAAGAACGAGTTTTTGCAATGGCACCACGATTTACCATTGCTCAGAGAAGTCAACATTCGTCGATGGGCCTTGGGAGAGGAAAGAGACTCACTCTCACTCCACCTTTTCGTCAACGCGAGTAAAGACGCTTATGCTGCTGTCATTTACGCTAGAACTGCGTCAGCAAATGGGGTTCAAGCGGCCTTTGTCGAGGCAAAATCACGAGTAGCACCGAAAGAAAGAGCAATGATACCCAGGTTGGAGCTGCTGGCTGCAACCGTGGGAGCGAGACTGCTGAAATCTGTTGTATCATCACTCAGTCGACCAGGAATCGAGACATATTGTTGGTCTGATTCGACCATCGCCCTGGCCTGGATCCAACGAGAGAAGCAGTGGGCTACCTTTGTTTTCAATCGAGTAAGAGAAATTCGACAATTGACTGAATCCCGCTCGTGGAGACATATTCCAGGCGAGCAGAATCCAGCCGACCTTCCATCGCGAGGCTGTACTGCTCGTCAATTGATCGACTCACGATGGATAGAAGGCCCTGAATGGCTCAAACTTCCAGCAACACGATGGCCTGACGCGAATTGGGACGCTGATGAAGAGCAAGTGGATCAAGAACTTCCAAAAACGGTGAAGAAGAAAGAGAAAATCGTCACGCCTGTTGTTGAGCCGAGTCACACTCTTAGCAGCATCGAGAGAGACCACGAAGTAGTTTCGCCTGCGTGGTATTTGAAACGATTCTCCAAATACGACCATATTGTCCGGTTGGTAGCCTGGATCCAAAGATTCCTGAATAACTGCCGTCGAAAGAAGGGTAATCTAGACGAGGGAGAATTAACTGGAAGACATATCGACGTGGCCGAGTCAACCTTGTTGCGAATTTCACAGCAGGAAAGTTTCGCTGACAAGAGAGATCGCCGACTCAGCTCGATGACGATTTACGAGGATAAAAGTGGCTTGTTGAGTTTGAAAACTCTCGTAGAAAATCGATAAGAAACCAGTAGCTTTCGTCTCCCTATAATTCTTGACCCTCATCATCTTCTGATGACAAAATTGATAGAAGATCATCATGAGAAACTGAGTCACGCACAAATCGACACAGTAATTAACGCTCTTTGAGAGAGAGTATGGATCCTTCAGTGTCAAAAAACTGTTAGAGCTGTGGTTCATCGTTGTGTGACCGGCAAGCAATATAACGCTCAGAAGATGGAGATTATGCCAACTGCCTTACCTGAGAATCGTGTCAGAGACGCCAGAACCTTCGAAGTCACAGGTATGGATTACGCTGGCCCCCTGTTCCCGAAGGATGGAAGTAAATTGTGGATCTGTCTCTTCACGTGTGCGATTTATCGTGCAGTTCACCTCGAGCTCGTGCCAGCCTTGTCTACAGAAAAGTTTTTAGAGGCACTCCGTCGTTTCATTGCTCGTCGTAGACGACCAACAGTCATCTACACCGACAACGCCACCAATTTCCATGGTGCACGAAATCTGCTAAGGGCAATCGACTGGACAAAGGTGATAGTAGACAGTTCAATGAAAAAAATGGAGTTGAAGTTCATTCCTCCCTCGGCACCCTGGTGGGGTGGCTGGTGGGAACGAATCGTCAGAATTATTAAAGAGCATCTCAGGTAAGTTCTGAAGAAGGCTTCGCTAACCAGTGATGAATTGTCCACTGTCTTGTGTGATTGTGAGGTAATCATTAATTCTCCTGCTTTCACGTATCTGGCCGAAGATCCGCAACGGCTGGCACCGCGTACACCAGCGATGTTACTTCAGGACATTCCAGAGGCTGGGATACCAGACATTGACGCCATTGATGTTACTTCACTGAATAAGAGACTAAGATATCGCCAAGAACTCTGAGAAAAACTCCGCCAGCGTTTTCGAATCGAGTATCTCGGACAATTGTCGCGAAGATCCAACGGTGTTTCCATATCTCAGAATGTCAACGTGGAAGACTTAGTTCTCTGTGGCAGTGAAACTCAGAAGCGATTAGATTGGCCGCTAGCAAGGGTCATCGAGTTATTCCCTGGAAAAGATGGTCGAGTTCGAGTTATAAAGCTGAAAACTGCAGCTGGTGAGCTGGTCAGACCGTTGCAGAGACTTTTCCCGCTTGAAATGACTGTCGATCGTGACTCGCTGTTGCCTGCTGTGCAAATTCTGATTTTTCGTCTGAAAAGGATTCTGATGGTAACAGCATCGTGACAGACTCGCAGTCCAACAGAGAGTCTTGTGCCCGATTCCAAGGGGGATCAATCTTCAAGTCTAGCAGTTCAGCGAACTGAATCGGTAGCAGAACAATCGTCGAGTCCAGAGAGTTTGTCAAGGATGCCGATGGAATTCTGAGAAAGACTACTCGTCGAGGAAGAAAAGTGCAAAAGCGGGTTAGATACCAAGACTAAAAAAGGCTTTTTTTAAAAGTCGAGTGTAATCATTGAGAGTAGCGTTTTATGATATTAAGTAATGGCTTGTAATCTAGAGTCAAATATGTCTTTAGTTCTCTTCTTTGAAATTTCAATTTTGTTCTAAAAGTCCTAGAAGTCGAGTTAAAAAAAACCCCCAAAGTGGGAGGAAATGTTACATCTAGATTTGAGTTTTGAGTTTCCTTTTTTTTCGCGGTCCATGCGAATGAGGCCTGAGCTGTGTGGCGTACGTGCCGTTTCGTTCCCGCCAAGAGTATCTATGTATGTGTGTGCAAAGATGGAGGCAACGTGCATTTTCAGTCTAATAAAAGTTGAAGCATTTTTGTGTTTAAACCTGTGAAACCTGCTTTTATTACTTTTCTCAGTCCACGACAAAACAGAAATCAATAATAATTAATATGAATCGGTTCAGACGCAATCGTATTATTCAAAGACAGAAGAAAGGACAACTAGTAACCAAACCTTCAAATGTTTATTCAAACACCGTCCAATTAATTCTCAAATATTCTACGACATTTTACATTATTTTTAGGCGAAATTGAAAGATCATTCAAGTTAACAATTACAAAGCTTTCATTCAGGATAAAACATTTAAAGGGCCTAGCAATAATGAACATAATCTAATTTTGAACAAAATTTTGGATATCCCGAAAAACGATTTCACGAATTTCTAATGAAACTCTATTACAAATTCTATTACTTTTTGACTGATTGTATTTATAAAAAATGTGCTGTGGAATTAAAAAAAAAGTTAAATACATGCTTTTTTATAGATAAAATCAGTAGAACTTCGTCTTTTTATCAAACTTTTTTTTTGGGGGGGGGGATCGTAAAATGATGGTTCTATGTTAACGCGGGGTGAGGGGGAGAATAACAGTTAAAAATATACAATGATGAACACTGAGGGTCACGAGGGTCGAGTGTGAGAGTAAAGAATGAAGGTCAGGTGTGTGGGTAAAAAATAAGGGTCATAAGAATAGCGAGGGTCACAAGGGTCTGGCGTAAGAGTGCTTAACACGGGTGAAGGCCCTGGCAAGTAAGCAGCCACTTAAGTTAGGTGGCTAATCGGGGCTGTCTTGTTTTGGTGGAAAAAAGGGTAAATGATACCTGAAACCATTATGGACGTTAATCTATGAATTATTAATGAATTTTACTACCTTTAATGACATTAATTTCCATTAATTAAGGAATATAACTGTTTGCGTATTGAAGGGGAAAATAAGTCAGTAGCGGGAACGCCGCCGGCTGGCGGCAGTGTCGACTTCTCGCCCAGGCCGATCAAGTCGGCAGTAGTGGTGGGAGAAATATTTTTCAAAAATGGTAAAAGGACGTTCTCATATACTTGATTATCCAAATGGTTCATTTCGGCATTTTTTTTATTGGTTTAATTCTATATTGACCCAATTCCCCTCCGTGAAAAATGTTATGGCAAATAGATACAGAGGAGAATGCTTCGGGTCAAATAGGGGCCAAGAGGGTAATCAAATAATTAGATAAATAAAAGAAACGTATCTAAAAAATTTGAGCTTTGTGGGAAGTGGGGGGAAGGGTATGTATACGGAGGATTGAGATTTTTACCCGTTGACGGGGAGGGGGGGTGTAGCGCCTCGCTACATACACATTTATGCATTAGTACGCGGACACGACAACGTGCGTAGTTGAGACGACTGGACATCAGTGACATCATCGCTCTCTGTCACGTGCCAATAAAATGTATACTTCTCACTCGCACCTATTGTAACGCGTATCCGAATTCTCGCCTTTTGCGAATATTATATTCAGCCTGGCGTTAACCGCCTATCACTCTACAAGTCGACCACCTGACTTGCTCTCTACTTTTGTATATATTGTGACGGCGCTAACCAACGTGAAACTCAAAACTTGAAATATAAACCCTAGACTTATCCATAACTCGATGCGAAACTCAAAACAGCCGGAGTGTTGTCACCTTCGGCCTCTGCTCCTCGATGTCCCCATGAAAATCCTCGAAAACCGAATAAACAAAAAAAAAAACGGAAAAACGAGAAAATGTTGTCGGGCACCAGCTGACTTTTGTTCCAGCGGTGTCAACGAACCGGATTAAAGAGAACCATACGAAAAACTTAGCCATAATCGGGGAAACCAAGGGAGAGGTTGCGGAATTAGCTCGACTAGCTCGGAGGTATTCGGAGAGCGGGGTAGGATCGGTCGCTCGGTCTTAGGAAGGAGGTCGCGAATTCAACAAAATGCACCGAAAAATCAAAAGGAAGAATCAGAAAATTAATTAAATGGGAAATGAGAAAATTACTTTAAAGTTACTCCGGGATTTATTAAATTTCTCGATAATATTTCAACTCAGGTGGAATTTCTATTCTTCACAAATAAAATACATTAATTTCGATTAACTTCAACCAAATTAAATTCAATTAAATTCCCGAGAGTGAGAGTACGTGAATTGACCTGGAGAGAGAGGTTATCGCGAGGGGAAATGGGGGATCCGAAGAATTCAAGCCAACGATCTCTCCGCATCGTCCAGAGACTGGACTGCTGGAAGATCCGAAGGCTATATTAATTCCGATGCGATGATCTCGGCGAATCTCCTCAGAATAATAAATGACAATCATTGGGCGAGGGACTCTCATATGCAAATGTCACTTAAGAGTGCTATTTTGCCCCATATTCGAGTCCGTCCTCCATCAAGAGCGTCGTGGCGTCACAGGAAAATTTCTGGAGCTCGCGAGCTTCAATGTCGTGATTTTCGGGGTCTTGTCTTCCAAGAAACCTTAAATTAATAAATTGAAACCTTGGGGGAATGTTAGTGAGCTAGAAAAGCACTCATTTGAGGCTTCAATTCACTCTGGAGAGAGGAAAAACCGCCATGTGCACGACAGCGTCACCCACGGCACGTGAGGGGCATGTGTGCACTTGTAGGCATGTTTTATTCACTTTTTCCCACTAGAATTGGCACTGGACATTTCCCATACGTTCCCGAGGGTTCCAGTGAACTAATTATGCACTCAGAAGGTGCACTAATTGTTCACAAAATCTCCTGGTGAATGGAGAGGGCACAATGGCGCCATGGCAGGGCATGGGCCATGTGCGGCCTTTTATTGTATCTCACTGTCCATTATCACTATCACTGGAGAGTCACTGGGGTTTTTATCATTGGGGAGAGGTCTAGGAAGCCGAACGAGAATTTTATGCACTCACTGGTACATTTTTCCTCTCGCTCGGAGGGGTTTTGGTGGTTGGGAATGCATCTGGGTGTCACTCGTGTGAACGCCGGTGCACTTTTCCCGGAGGTTATCACTGGGCACACTGGAAATAAATGCACTTCTCTCCTCGGGAGAGAGTGCACATGGTGAATAAAAATGTACTTACCATGTTCCTCGTGTGGGCCCTCGGCGATGGTCTCCACCAACTCTCAATCGTTGCGGATGTTCTCGGGGATGTGGTTACAGTGGCTGCTCAGGCCCAACTCTCGTAAAACTGCGTTTTACCGGCGGATGTTCTCAGCTGGGTGGCACAACTGGCACGCCGTCTAGCTGCCGCTGAAGCGGGCTCATGTAAACGAGCACGCGGGGATTTCGG